TTCATATATTTTCAAAGCTTCCATATAAAACTGAATGGCTAACATAGAGTTTTCTTCTAGTTTTTGATAACACTTTCCAAGTACATGACAAATATGGGCTTGATCAAAATCTTGCTGCGTCGAAGGCTAGATAGGTCTGAAGTGAACCAAACTTTCAGGGAAGGTTGACCATGTCAAAGTGTAGTAAAAAAAGCTTTTTTTTGCGCCACTGACAACTGTTCCTGAGGGCGCCACAACAAGGGTCAAAAATAGGCGTCTACCACGCACGAGAATTCTTATTCCAGATAAATGAAAGAGAGCTCAGGCTTTTTTTGTTTCGCAGTAAACACCTCAGACCGATTTTTGAATTTCTCATCTACTGATTTCTGGTAAGGTGCTCCAAATTCGGTAAGCAAAAAAATAGATTTTCTTTGAACGTACATGGTTGGATAGAGCTCGTCGAACTGATACCGAATATAGCCTTTTATCGAGTTTTGATCACGTTTTGGCGGAGAAATCTTCGAAATACCACAAGAGCCGAAAAAAGTGAAAAAATGAGTGTTATAGAAAGGAATCCAGATTTGACCGTTTTTCATTCTCTCTAGGTTTTTGAAACTATTTTATTCGAGCTCAGCATCAAAAACTGAGTATATCAATGTAGGTTTGTTACTAGCTCATCGTTCTTGATGTCTGCGAGCAGGACGGACTAAGTTCGTCCAGAGACGTTTTGGCATCCTGTTCTCCCAAGCCTATGTAGTCTTTTGTTCCAAGTGTTACCCCCAACTATCATACATCATTTGAATCACCATTCAACAGTGAACAAAACTACGTATGCATTTAAGAAACTTTCATTTCCTCGCTGAGAAAAGTCATCATTAGTGTAGCAAAGTCGGAATTCTTCTCGTAATTCTCAATTTTCTCCAATAAAACTCAACTTCTATGTAATTTAAATATCATATTCGGAATCAGGATCCAAAGACGAATCTATTGATGTGTATTCTGATGCTTTTAATTGATTTTTATTTTTTGGTGAAAATCTCGATGATTTTTCGACGCAGAAATTCGAAAAAAATTAAATTGCTTGGATGTGTTGAGGATACACATTAGTAGATTCGTCTTTTGATCCTGATTCCGAATTTGATATAACCGATCGGATAAAGAAACACATATTCGGAATCAGCGTCGAATTCTGAGCAAAATGATTTATTTGATTCGCTCGAAAAGTCACTTTTCATTTTTTTCGGAAAATCATAGCCCCTATGACCCACTTGGAACACTAAAAACTTTTTTCTTTCGAATCTTTTTGAGAGTTACATCATTTAACGCAAAATTTGATGCTGATTCCGAATATGTGTTTCTTTTTTGGTTAGGTTAAGGGAATACTTTGACCTTTACTCGCCCTTCTCCTTTACCACATTTTATGTGCAAGACTCGAGTCTCAAAAATGCTTCCTTCAATGTGGAAAACGTTAATTGACATTGTTAAAAAAATTGTTTTAGACATCAGTATTCCTCAGTATTCAGTATACTGATAATGGTGCATACCTATATTTAGGAATGTGTTATACATTATGTAATCAATTTGACGCGGCAATCGACTATTATCTGAAATCATTAACAATCGTTCAACAACCACAACAAATATTTTCTATCAACAGTACTAAACTTATTAATATATATTGTAGTGTTGCTTATTGTTATTATAAAAAATTTGACTTTGAAATGGAAATGCAATATTATATAGATGCATTAATTATTTATCAGAAAACATTAAATAATGATCGAGTAAACGAAGTTAAAAATCTTTGTAAAATAATTGCTTTAATCTATGATAATGAAAATGAAAATAGTAGAACTATTGAACGTTTTAAAAGGTTATTCAATGTATATTTAGAAAAAAATCCACATGAGAAGATGATTTTGAGTGATTTGAATTTCAAAATTGGAGCATATTTATCGAAGAAAAAGAAATGTGACTTAGGGAAGCCGTCAAAATTCACCGGTAATTTGATTGGAAACAAAATTGGAACAGTATTATTCAATATGCCTGAGAAAAAGAATATGGTATAACAGAATGACGATGTATGTATATATTCTTTTCTGTACTATACTTGACTTGATGTTTTTT